AGGAGTCCTATAAAAAATGGAAACTAGGACAAATAACAAAGGATGAATATAGGCAAGCAACACGGGAATGCAGGGGCAAGATTAGAAAGGCAAAGGCACAAAATGAGATCAAACTAGCTACAGGCATAAAGGGAAACAAGAAGACCTTTTATAAATACATTAAAAGCAAGAGGAAGACCAAGGACAGGGTAGGCCCACTGCTCAGTGAGGAGGGAGAAGCAGTAACAGGAAACTTGGAAATGGCGGAGATGCTCAATGACTTCTTTGTTTCGGTCTTCACCGAGAAGTCTGGAGGTGTGCCTAACGTAGTGAATACAAGCAGAGAGAGGGTAAGTTTAGAAGATAGGATACACAAAGAACAAGTTAAAAATCACTTAGGAAAGTTAGATGTCAGCAAGTCACCAGGTCCTGATGAAATGCATCCCAGGATACTCAAGGAGCTGATAGAGGAGGTATCTGAGCCTTTAGCTATGAAAAATCATGGCAGACAGGGGAGATTCCAGAAGACTGGAAAAGGGCAAATACTGTGCCCATCTATAAAAAGGGGAATAAGAACAACCCAGGAAACTACAGACCGGTCAGTTTAACGTCTGTCCCAGGGAAGATAATGGAGCAGGTAATTAAGGAAATCATATGCAAACACTTGGAAGGTAATAAAGTGATAGGGAATAGCCAGCATGGGTTTGTGAAGAACAAGTCATGCCAAACTAATCTGATAGCTTTCTTTGATAGGATAATGAGCCTTGTGGATAAGGGAGAAGCGGTGGATATCATATACCTAGACTTTAGTAAGGCATTTGATACGGTCTCGCATGATATTCTTATTGATAAACTAGGCAAATATAACTTAGATAGGGCCACGATAAGGTGGGTGCATAATTGGCTGGATAACCGTAGTCAGAGAGTTGTTGTTAACGGTGCTAAATCCTGCTGGAAAGGGATAACAAGTGGAGTTCCTCAAGGGTCTGTTTTGGGACCCGTACTGTTCAATATCTTCGTCAGTGATGTAGATATTGGGATAGAGAGTACGCTTATTAAGTTTGCAGATGACACCAAACTGGGTGGGGTTGCAACTTCTTTGGAGGATAGGGACATAATTCAAAATGACCTTAGCAAGTTAGAGAAATGGTCAGAGGTAAACAGGATGAGGTTTAATAAAGAGAAATGCAAAGTGCTTCACTTAGGAAGGAACAATCAGTTCCATACATACAAGATGGGAAGCGACTGTCTAGGAAGGAGCATGGCGGAAAGGGATCTAGGGGTCATAGTGGACCACAAGTTGAATATGAGTCAACAGTGTGATGCTGTTGCAAAAAAAGCAAATATGATTCTAGGTTGTATCAACAGGTGTGTTGTAAGCAAAACTCGTGAAGTCATTCTGCCGCTCTACTCTGCACTAGTTAGGCCTCAGCTGGAGTACTGTGTCCAGTTCTGGGCGCCACATTTCAAGAAAGATGTGGAGAAATTGGAAAGGGTACAGAGAAGAGCGACAAGAATGATTAAAGGTCTAGAGAACATGACCTATGAAGCCAGGCTTCATGAACTGGGCTTGTTTAGTTTGGAAAAAAGAAGATTATGGGGGGACATGATAGCGGTTTTCAAATATCTAAAAGGGTGTCACAAGGAGGAAGGAGAAAATTTGTTCCTCTTGGTTTCTGAGGACAGGACAAGGAGTAATGGGCTTAAAGTGCAGCAGGGGAGGTTTAGATTGGACATTAGGAAAAAATTCCTAACTGTCAGGGGGGTCAAATATTGGAATAAATTGCCAAGGGAGGTGGTGGAATCTCCCTCTCTGGAGATATTTAAGAACAGGTTAGATAGACATCTGTCAGGGATGGTGTAGACGGAGCTTGGTCCTGCCTTGAGGGCGGGGGGCTGGACTCGATGACCTCTCGAGGTCCCTTCCAGTCTAGGATTCTATGATTCTAAGTGCTATAGCAGTGCGAAATGTTAGATGAGCAGCAGCACATTGGTAGTATACTAGCAGCCGTCCTGCCTCTAAAGCAGCCAGGAAGCAGTTTATTTGCAAGAACAAAGATGCCATGTCTCCCTGGACACCATCAGCAATGGCCTTCCCAAGCCGGTGTAAGGAGAGTAACCGCGAGACGTGAAAGCTTGGGGAGAGGTTTCTGATATCAAAGTTGCGCTGTCAAGTGGGCAGTGCAGGCGTCTGGCAGCTAAGACTCGTGGGGTCCATGCCGAACTCTGCCACCGACTTGCTATGTGAACTGGGGTGCTTAGCCCTTCTGTGCCTGTTTAACCATCTACAAAATGGAATGAATTATATCCCCTAGGGGAAGATTGATTCTCTAGTGTCTGTAAATCACTCAAGGGTACGTCTACACTGCGGCGCTATTTTGGGATACTCCGGTATCCTGAAATAGCTCTTCTGCGTCTTTTAAACAATCCCGTTATTTTAAAATATCATGGGCTCGCTGTTCCGACATCCTGGCTGCAAGCCTCATCCCACGAGGATTAAGGGATGTTTCGGAATAGCGCTCTGTTTTGAAATTCGGTTTAGACAGTGCCAAATTACATAATAAGCTATTTTGACAGTAACTCTAAATAAGCTATGCAATAAGGGTGCAGTGTAGAGAGCCTCAGAGGAAAGGGGAATGAGAAGCACTGAATTTTTCCTGTGCACGCTGAGGCCTGATCTACACTGAGAGTTTAGGTCACCACACCCCTGGCTCTCAGGGGTGTGAAAAATTCACACCCCTCTCCACTGCAGCAATGCTTACCTAACCCCTGTGTGCAGGCAGCAAGGCAGATGGAAGAATGTGCTATTCCTACTAGGGCCATTAAATATCGGTTACTTGAATAGTCGATTAACCTCATGAATTCTTAACGGTTAGTCGACTATTCTATAGTCCCTGGGCAGCTTCTGTTTAAGGGCGGGTCTTAATTCCAGGATTCCGCATGAGCCAGAACTGAGCTGGGCTGCCTGCCTGCCTGGCTCCTAATACACTTTAAATGCAGTGGGGGAAGGTCCAGGACCCAGTGCAAACTGGGACTGAGCTGGGCTGCTGGCCAGCCTGCTAAAAAATGTACTGGCAAGGGGGGGGGAGGGAATGCGTGCAGTCTATAGCAGTGGTTCCCAAACTTTTTGGCATCACGCCCCCCCTTTTTGATTTTTGAGAAACCCTCATACCCCTTCCCCTCAGCAGCAAAAAAAAAAGGGGGGGGGAATAATTGTGGCTGAAAAACAAAAATAGAAGCAAAACTTAGGGGGGGAGGAGTTGACAAGAGGGAGCTGGGTCATCTCGTGCCTTCCCCCCCCCCCCGCAATTTCTTCACGCCCCCCCAGTTTGGGAACCTATGGGCTATGTCTAGACTGGCATGATTTTCCGCAAAGGCTTTTAACGTGCCAATCTAGACGCTCTTTTGCTCCAAAAAGCCCCGATTGCCATTTTCGCGATCGTGGCTTTTTTGCGGAAAACAAATCTCAGCTGTCTACACTGGCCCTTTTGCGCAAAAGCTTTGCGGGACTTTTGCCTGAACGGGAGCAGCATAGTATTTCCGCAAAAAGCTCTGATTTCTTACAGTAGGAAGTCAGTGCTTTTGCAGAAATTCAAGTGGCCAGTGTAGACAGCTGGCAAGTTTTTCCGGAAAAGCGGCTGATTTTCCGGAAAAACTGGCCAGTCTAGACACAGCCATGGTGTATAGCATATTCATACGCTTTTTCTTGTCGGTGAATCGACTACACTATGTCTAGCCATGCGGCTTCTTGCGCGTGAAATATGCAAATGAAGCTAAGCGTGGAATATCGCCGAGCCCCATTTGCATACCTAATGAGCCACCACTTTTGCAGAGGAGGCTCTTGCGCCAGAAGGAGCTGGCTACATTGCCCCTTCTTGCGCAAGAAAAAACCTCTTGCCCAAAGTCA